AACAGATTCTCAAGAACATAAATATGATCTTCACAATTTGTTCTTAATTTGATATATTTTTTGACAGCTCCTTTCCAGATATATTTGAGGGGATGGGTGTAGAGATTTATTTTTACTGTAGTGAAAGATGTTCAGTTAAATCCAGTTAGAGAAGCATTGGAAAGAGAGAAACACAATGATTTAATAACCTTTTTGCTATAAACGTAGCTGAAAATCTGAAAAGGTGGTCCTGTAAAGTGATGTGAGGTACTTTTGCTTTCTGCTGAGGAATAATAACACAATCCTATGTTTGTCTCAGTGGTAAAGGTAGAATGATAACAATAGAGGCAAAATACATGTTTCATTCAAGTATTTATTCTAGTTTTATTCTGATATCTTCCATTAGTTTCACTTAGCAAAAGAAGGAGTTCATTGTGTGAGGCTGGGCCCAGCCACTGGGTCAGCTGGAGTATCTATGAAGTCAATGCTGAAGTCAAAGATATTCTTTAAGAGTGAGGGGGTGGTTATTCAGAGGAGGTTTCTCTGCACCGTGCCTCTGCATGCCTCGATCTCCTGCTGTTATAAAATCAGCAACGAAAGCAAAATTTAATTTACGAAGTTCAAGTGCCTGCGACCTGTATTCTGCCCTAGTGCCCCTGAAGACTTTTTTTTTCCTTTATTTTATCTATCTTGAATGTGCTAGAGGGAGATATCTCCTTTGTTTTATAAACTTCCTGTGTGGTCAGCACATTTTGAATTCAAATGTTTCTGAAAAGATAGCTTTGTTAACATGCCTTCAATGTTCTGATACCTTTGAGAAATCTCTCATAGTTCTTACTGGATGTGAATGGATCAATGGAAACTTTTGACAAAAGCTGTGAATCATATGGCTTTTGGTATTATTTTCTTAACTACAAATATAGACCAGAATGGTTCTAGTTGCAAACCTACAATGGTCATCTGGTCCAACTTCTGAGTCCAAATATATCAGGATAGTAACCTGAAATTATAATTGCTAATGTGATAAAATGGATTGAAAATAAATGGGAAAGCAGATCCAACATATGAAATAAAAGTCTGTTCACTTTTTAGCATATATTCATATTGCCTACATTGGAAATGAACCACACACCTACTTATTTCAATGTTTTTACATTCTCGAGCATTCAGAGAAGTTTAAATTTTAAATTCAGGTATGACTGCTTTTCAAAAAACCTCAACTTGATAAACACCAATTAAAAATAAAGATGGAAATTTTCAAATACATTATAACCTAAATGGGCATAAGTGACTGGTGCAGATGAGTTTACTGGAAAGAATAGTACTTATTGGCCAGGACACACCGAATAGGATCTGTTTCTTAGAAGCAGGACAGTAGAGCAAAACCTGCACATGGTGAAAATTTGTTCACAATGGCTTTTAGGTAAGAATGCCCAACTCCATCTTGATTCTCTGTTTTCATTAAAGCACACTTCAGGTTATCCATACTTCAAAGTTAAATAAACAGAAGTACTTTGTAATAGTCTTCATTACAGGTAACAGATAAAAGGTGCCGTTTACTAATGTTTCACGATTATTTCACTAGCTTCATTGTACTACTCTTTTCTTATCTTTTCTTATTACAACTCCTTTAAAAAAAAGTTGTACATAATGTAATAGTGACCAGTTTGTACAGACCTGGAAGTGCTGTGAATGTTAAAGGTAATGTGTTTGAGTTGTAGCTGCCTTGCTGTGAATAAGAACCACTTAAGTAATATGGATTCAGCTTGATTAGATAATGCATGCCAAAATATGAACAGGGTAAAAATTAATAGAACAAAGAGAACTTCAAACCAAACAAAAACTTTCTAGTTACAGTGGGTGAAATTAGATTTTGTATCACTTGTAAGGGGAGTGTCTGCCTTGGAATGATAAAAATTTTTTTCATGTTTGCTCTTAGCTACTCAGAGTCCAGCCTTGAAACCCATAACTCTACCTTCTGCAGAAGCCAGAGAGATGGAAATGGGTAATTAGCAGATTAGCTTTATGACTTTTTTTTCCCATTATCTTAGCATCATGTAGATCTGCAAATGATAATCTTGAGATCTGTTTTAGAACCTTGGCTACTAACACTCACAGAGAACTTATTCTCCATTCTTGTGTCTGTGTAATCAGCTGAAAATCTTATTTGTTATTGGCTAAAAAACTGCTTAAAGAAAGTGTTGTCATATCTTGTCAATACCTGTCTTTCTGTAGAGCTGCAGCTCTTACCTAGAAAATTTAATATGATAGAATTCCTTGCTGGTGAGAGTCCTTTCAGGCATGTGGAACTTGCATTTCAGGCCAGAAAACTGTATTGCCAGCCATCATCTCCTGTTGTCATGGCAGTTGTCTCATGTCTCATTTTAGACCGTCTGCCATCTTGCTTAGCTTTGCTTTAGCATCATCTGGAATTGCACAGCCTTCACTAAGCTATTCAGACCTAATCCATCAAGTCACGGGTCTCTCAGCATTTTAAGCTCAGATTCTTTTTTCACCTTTTGAGGAAAAACAGCCTGTTTCTTCGGGATCCAAACCATCTGGTACCATAGAAGTGCAACCAACCAGAGCCAGTAATGGTTTCTCATAAGGTTAATCCTCCTGACAGTTAGGAATTTTTAGAGGAGACATAGTGCCTCTCATTAAATACTTTGTTTAGTTTGACATAAATGAAGAATAACTGTAGGTATGAAAGTGCTGCATCAAAATATCAGATTTTTTAATGAAATTTTATATGAAATACTGAACTAGTAGTTCAGAGGTTTTTCCGTATTTGGCAACAGCATGTAATTCTCAGTTTTAAAATTAAATTAGACTTACTGTAAATATCAAATTTAAATAGGCCTTTCCACACCTGAGATTCATAAGTGGAATATCCTGATTTGCTGAAATATTCAGAGTTGCAAGAGATGAATGGAAACTTCAGAAATTCCAACATATTTTGAAACTGTAGCTCTTCTTTTAGCCTTTCTGTGTAAGCATAGACGTAACTCTAAGTGCCCAGATTTCAAAAATAGCACTATAAAAGCATATCATTGAAAATTCAGACACTGTCATGGTACTTAGAAAAATTCTATTATGTGTTTTTCTTAGGTTATAGATGTTATTTACTTAGGGCAACAGACAGTTACCCAAAGAAGGAAAAAAAGTAAGATGATAGCCAGTTGGAAAGATTTCATTTCATTAGCATGCCAGTAGGGTAATGCTTGATGCATATGTTTTTGGAAGAAATTAGCATTGAAGGAAATCCATTAATGAGGGGGACATTGATTGCAGCTGTCCACCATTACACATCTGACAAAAGGCAGTTTATATGTTTCATTTGGTCCAGTTCTTGTTTTGTCATCCTCTTCCCTTCTCCAGTTTCCACACCACTATATCCTCTTTCCTGATCCTAGGAGCTCTAAACAAAAATTTCATGCAGTCCCAGTTTGCTACATTTTGTTTATAATTTGTTCTCCTATTTTGAATAGCCTTGTATCTCTCCTTTTTAACTCTATAGTTCAACTTCTTTTTGTGTGATTCTGAGAACAGTTTGGTCATTAATTGCATTATGTATCTGTTTATTAATGCATGTTCTTGGAAATAATTTTCAAGTCACAATTGGTTATTGTACATTTCAGATTCTACCTTTCTGTGGAACATAATGCGTTAAATATTACCCAGAGGTTTTGTCAACTCATAAAAGAATACGATCCTGTTTCAGGATGGTTCTTGTCACTTCAAAACAGGATTGTTTTGAATAGAGCTGTCAAATACAGCAGAATTTTTGCTTTTATTTTCCAGCTTCACATGACTTTCTTCATATTATTTCTACTCCCCAAACTTTTACATCTTCAGAAATACCAGGCACTGGTAAATTATAATAATATTATTTCAGAAGCATACCCATTTGATTGGTTGGTGCCGAAAAGTTTATTACTGCTTCCATGTTGACAGTTTCAGACAGCTGTTGCATACTACTTGCCTTGGGTGTTGCCCTATGTTTTGTTTTTTCAAATTCTGTATCGGCATCATCATTCCTGGGACCAGGCACGCACAGGTTTGTAGAAAGACTGCAACTAGCTTAAAGAATAATGCAGTATTGATCAAATAGCTGTATTAAGAAAAGATTTAAATTTTGCAAAACTTAAAACTATTACAGTCAAGTAAAATATGCTACTTTTTAGGGATAAGATTTTCTTCTTCTTTCTTGCTTTCTGTCAGTTTTTCATTGTTCATAAATATTTTGCTGTGAGTTTTCCTGTGTATTGCCTTAAAATAAGAAAGTTATGGCATCTCAGACCAGAGCTTTCAAACTAAGCTATACTTTGAGTTATAGCTTTGAAGATAGGTTGTTTTTCCTGTAGTCTTTGGTACATGAGGATGCTTAAGCTTTTTAAGCATTTCTTGAGCATGAAGAAGTTAAGAGGTGAGGGCAATGGAGAAGGGGTAGAAGGAGGTTAAGGGGGAAGGAAAGCAGTTTATTGCCCAAGTCTTCTTTGACCAATGCAGCCATAGTCTGCTAAATTCTATGCTGAATAATCTACTGGTTCTTGGCACACCAATACCGTTCATGTTTATATTGGCAGGCCCACTGACTGTTTTCTGGATCAAAAGGTGTTTTCTTACTACCTGCCATTCATAATGTGCTAAGATTATTAAGCAGTAACAAGAATTCTCATTAGTATGAATAATTAGGTCACCTGGTTTCCACATCAGCTTCTACACCAGCCTACCAGTCCACGACACAGAGTAATGTTAGCTGATTTCCACACAAAATTTTCCCTGTGCTTCCATTTTAACAAAGCAACATTTGTCTGCTGAGTCCTGTGCTATCCAAGTAGCTCTTGAGGCAATTTTAAGCCTTTTAACACAAGATTATCTTTTCAGATTTAGGTGAAAGGAAGACTCTTCCTTCAAGATCCACAACATCTGGCATACCAGAAATGCCACCAATCTCATCTGGTAATAGCCTCTCTCTTCGTTGTAGTTCTCCTGACATCTAGTCAGTCTCTCAAAAGACACAGCAATGCTTTGCCAAATGGAGGTCTCAGAAATTCTGTTTTGTTCTGTATAAAAGTGTAACTGGAGAGAGAGACCAGTCATGTCCGTTGCAACATTCGAGAAATTGGAAAAGAAATGTTGGAATGATAGGATCAAAATTTTTTATGTTGGTAAACAATTAGCTAGGTTGTCCTGTGGAGTTATTGTTCAGGTTTTTTGTAAAGAATTTTGTGTGTGTCTATATGGAGGCCCATTTTTAGGAGTAGTTAAATAAGTGTTAACACGTCAGATTTGTTCCTTTTGTACATCGAATGCAAAAGCATCTCCATAGGTGGAAAAAATATTTATCTGCTGTTCAAAAGAATACCCCATGAGATTTTAACCATTGGAAAATGCAAGTTAGTTATTTGATTAGTGAGTCATTGCATGTTACTAGAAAAGGATCAAGTCGAAGGGAACTGAATCAAAGGGTTTCCATTTCCAAAGGTTGGGTTTATCAAAATATTCCAGAGGAATCACTAGGCACCACTTCCTTATTACCAGCAACTTCATTCTTGTGCATGTTTTCAAACTGTCACCAAGTCTTGCCTACCTTGCATCTGAAGCCAAGTCCAAAGAAATGGGCAAAAGTGAGCAGTGTTGATAAGTGTATATATATATATATATATATATATATATATATATATATATATATATATATATATATACTGTAGATTTAACAGTGGTTTATGTACCGAGTTGTGCATTTTCCTTGTGCAAGATCAGGATAAGAGAGTATAAGGGAGTCACTTCAGTGAAGTTACATGTCCTTCAGTGTGCGAAGAGATGTCAGATTGTACAAGTTTAAGTTGTTGTAAGATGTGCTAGAATTCTGCAGAAATATTTTTACTGGTCACTTATTTGCAAGAATTTCTCTACAGATAGAGAAATTCTCTACACTGTCCCTTATTAGTGGCAGGGACAGTAATTTCTGACCCATAGAATGAAGGATTTTGTTGCTTGTTGGGAAAAGTGAGATCAGACTTTGAATTCTAAATACAAAGATGTGATTCTCAGTTCTCATGTTACTATGCAATTACTATTAGCAATTAGATGTATGCAATTACATCTTTAAAGGACATGTAAGGAGTGGTTTGGTAAATTAGACACTTAGGCATTTTTATGCTGATGGAGAGCCATTTAGTTACTGAGGTTCAAGGACTATTGTGATACTTGCAACCACAACAAGACAGTTGACTCTTGATTTGATCACTGAGTCACAAGGTAATGCCAGGAAAAAGCATGTGTGGCCCTAAATACAGATGTCTGGGGGCTGGGAACTGATGCTGCTTGTACTGCTGTGGCAAGGCTCAGTGGATATCTCAAGATCATTTCCATGTCTGACTGTAGCACCCAAGAGACCAGCCCTGGAATCGACCTTGTCTGCTTCACCAGAAACCACAAGGATGGGTAAATAGCCAGCCATTCCCTTCCTTCCTTCATCACTTTGGCAATGCTTTTCCCTACAGTGGTGAGCCTGTTCAGATGTGCTGATGTCCTGAGAAGTGGGGTCAATGATGTGGTTGGACCTCCATGAGTCCTTGTTAGAAATTGTTACACATGTGAGCTTTCTGTGGCCTTTTCTGGGGTTCCATTTCTAGGTTTCCTCTGACACCTTGGGCTACCTCTGCCAGTTGAAAGACAGCATCCTGCTACTGCAGAGATTGATGCTGTGACAGGAGAGCCTGGCCCAAGCATTGCCGTGTCTCCTTTTCTGTAGCTCTGTCTTGATATGACCCTGCAACAGCAGCCTGTCTGAGGACCTGAAGATGGTTTTTGTGTTTGATCTTAGCTACTCGAAGACCAAGGCTGAAGTCCACCACTCCTTCCTCCCTGGCAACCAAGCAAACTGTGATGGGTAACTAGCAAACCCCTTCTTTTTCCATTGTCTGCCATCTCCCTTGTTCCCCATCACGCCTCTCACCCCAAACCACCTGGCATCCTTCTCATCTCCCATGGACAACATGAAGACCCGTTGGTGCAGCTTGGCTTGCTGAAGCACTCGTCACACTGGTTCTGCAATTCTGCTGTTTGATCCCGTGCTTTTTCCATTGCTGACAAGTATTTTCTGCAGGAAGCATGTGACATCTTGCAGAGAGACCACGTGATTGCACCTTGCCTTCAGCTCCATCCCCCTGCTTCTTTGTGTGTTGGGAGCGGGTCTTGCCTTCTCTGTTCCAATATGACAGCATTTTTCAGAGGCAAATCCCATCGGGGCTGGCGCAAGAGGACAGCACAGCAGTTCAGCCACCCTCCAGGGAGTCCTGGTGCAAGGGTGCAGCCGTTTGTTGCTTCATCACTGACTTTCAAGGTGGCTGGTTGTCTTCTGCCCATGGCTTTACATTGCCATCACCTGGGTGTGGGAACGCTCTGCTCTGCTGCTGCTTTTGTGGTTGTGTTAGGGTTTTAAGCTCGATGCCTCTTTTCAGCTTTTGGTGAATCATGGCATGTTTCTTCAGGGTTCAAGACACCAGCAGTGTTTGGTGGTAATGATATTTCTTGCAGGTCTGGTAATGATGCGAGATGGGAATTGTCCCAAGAGATCTTGTTATGCTTTTAGTCAAACTTATTTCTCTTGGGGTAAAGTGTAAGTGTAGAGATGTAAAGGACATATGTGAAAAGCCATATTTACTTCAGGCATTGAATACAGCACTTGGAAACAATGGGTGGAGGCGCTTTTGACAAGAGCTTCTTTCACATTAGCAGGTGTGCAAGATAAGTCCTGTGCCCTGGCATTACTTTGTGGCCCATGTGGTAACAAAGCGTTTTCTGAGCAGGCTGGTAAACCTAAAATCTGAAGTAGAGTCCAAGTTAAAAGTGGAATGAACAATATGAAATACCTTGGTACTTCTGTCTGTAGCAGTCTTGCTTTCATATCAGCTGAGATATGTCATGCACTTCATGGTCTTTTTCAGGGAAGTTACATTCCTTACCTTCCTTTACTTAAAGTAATTTTTTGGCTTTCTTGTTTTTACAGTGGAGCAATTAGATTACTTGTAATTATAACAAAGCATACAAATTTGGCTGGGCTAAGAATATTCCTTTCTCTTTCCCTGCATGGTGATGTCTTAATCACTTTTTATGTTCTTTTATTTTTGCTAATTTTTTAATTGGATTTTTTTCTCTGTCTTCATTTCATAAATTTGCTTCCTTTTTTCTTCCCTTTGCCCAGTTTTTTTGCAATTTTTCAGGGGTTTTTTTGCATTTCTACTAACCTTTTGGGAATTTTTTCCATTTAACTTATGTCATCCCATTGAATTTTTTGCATCATATTTATGTGTTTTTACACATAAATATTAACCTTTCTTTTAAAAATTTTGCTCATTTTACAGAATATGTTTTTATGGTTTTTTCAATTCTTTATTTATTATTTCAGTTCTTTATTTCATTATTTGTAGTCTAAACCATCAAGTCCACGGTTGCAGGTGATCCTATGGTGTGATGGTTGGTGTATTATTTAAATAATAAGCCACAATTTTTTTTCCAGCCTCCCATGACTTTCTTCATGTTACTTCCACTCCCCAAACTTCCACATCTGCAAAAATGTCAGATCGAGAGACTGGTAAATTGCATTTATTTTATTTCCTATCCTTTGTTTGTCTTGATATATAAGTGATATTATTCTGATGTTTATTTGTCCCATATTTTTAATGTTACCTCCAGTGGTCTTTCATTTGGTCATTAAGGCTTCATGTTATTTGTAATAGTTGCGAGTGTCCAGCAGTTTTGGCCTCAAGTAAGTGATCCTGATTCCATCGGGCTATTTCAGGCTGGTATCATGTTACTGAAGGGTTGTGATGGGGAGTGTGGGGCAGAATTTAGCACTTGAAAGGAAACTGTCAGGCTTTGATGAATTTTGGGTTGTCAGCATAACAGTTATCCTTTGAGGAGGGAATGGTTTTTCTTTAGCTAGTATGGACTTTTTAAAGAGATTTGTTGTTTGAACATTTGTTTCCTGTTATAACTTTTTTAAGTAGCCTCTAATATTCAAAAGACTGCTGCATTACAGCATTTTGGCATTAAAGGTTATTTTTACAGTTACTTCTGCTAACAATTTATCACTTCTCCCCATGTATTTATGAAGAATATAGGGTCTTAGGCACAATATATGCATTTGTATTAGGCCATGAGATTTTTCCCAGAATATAATCATAAAAAATAGTAGAGAGTTGCTGTGAGTTTCTCGTCTGTGCTTCTGCTCGTGCTAGCATGATTTAAGCAAGTGATATTTTATAATATCAGTGTATCAAACATCATTCTCTTTCCAGGGACGAACCAAGTGAAATTGGGTAAATGAGCATTGACATATTTTGTCATCTGGAGATTAGCTTATTACAATACACATACGCTATTCATGTTTTCTCTAGTCTTACTTGTTAAGGTTTTTTGGTCCACATTCTTTTAGTTTCTCTATACAGATAAATGTAGCAAACCTTAGCTTTTATCCACTGCAGAATTCACACTGAACACAAACATGATGCAGCTGTGCTAATACTCCAAGGGTGGTGCTGACAGTTATCCTGCCTCTGCATGAATACCATATTTTTGTTTCCTTTTGAAGTTGAGAACTCCAGTTTTCCAAGGTCATTTCGGTCAAATCAAACTATCTTCATTAGGTAAAAGAGCTTTAGCAGTTAGTCAGGCACGGCTTTACTGTTCTCTGTGGCATTATTCTTGCCAAACTACTACAGAATTCTCTCTTGATGTAAAGAATTGGGCTACTTAGATTTCTTACTACTTGGTCTTCAACTTTAATCAGTCATGAGTGTTCTTAACATCAGGAACACCTACTGTTCAGTTTTTCATATAACACTGCCCATAGAGATAGAGCATGTTTCTTTCATTCTGACTGCATAATATCTGTATTGGAAATGGTGGTCTTGGGGATCTAATAGATTCTGATTTTTTTTTGAGTTTGTTTTTTCATTAAAATGCTATCAGAAAAGCATAAAGATAATTTTTAAGCCATTTTCTGCCGAAGGATGATCAGTTTCTGTAAACCTGTTTCTATCAAAGTATCTTTGTGGCATTTGGAGGAAAAATGTGATCCCTGGGCAAAATACAAATTTATAGACCATGTTCATGAAAGTGTTTTGATACCATCTATGTGAAAATGGTCTGCATGTTGTATCCAAATAATATTGGACTTTTGCAGCTCTTTATTTAAAAGACTTATCTGAAACACCCAAACTAAAGGGAGAAGAGGCTTGCTGTCAGCTGTTGCTATTGGATAGAATTTGAAAATAAGATGCAGAGAGCTGACCTTGTAGTAAATGTGTCAGAATTAGATGTTATGTATCAAAAAAAAAAAAAACAAACCCACAAGATGAAGAATGGAGTAGGCCACCACAGATATTAATTAGAAGTGTGTATGCAAGAAATCTAAAATAAGTTTAGATCCATCAGACATGCTAAGGGCCAAAAATCACCTTATCTGAAGACTGATTTCACTTATTGTTTCAAGATTTTTTTCATATTTGACCTTAGCTACCCAGGGACCAAGCCTGAAATTCACTTCTCATCCCTCCACGGAAACCAGAGGGAGCATGATTGGTAAATAGTATATCATTGCATTAGCTTTTCTAGCCCTTGCCATCACTTGCATTGGCTGTGGACAGTGCTAAGATTCATTCAGACATGTTGCTTTGAAGACTACTTGATGCTAGGCTTTCCCTCCACCCCCACTCCCACCCCTGCTCAACCTGGCCATTTCTGCGTAATCAAAGCTGAAAAATAATTTAGCACACTGACTGAATAACAGTCTACAAAGAAACCTCTGCTAGCTTATATTGCCTTTGATTTTCTTCTGGTAGCTGCAATTTTCATTTAAAGAATAGGTACTTTAAAACAAAGGCCAGTGAGAAGAAGAATACTTAGCATGAGCTACTTGGAATTGGCCCTACTTCATTTCACACCAGCTTCAGTGTTAATGTAGCACCTCATTTCACAGCTGATCTTTGCAGCTGCTTACAAATTGCTTGATCTCTCATCAGTGTCATCTTGAATTGCGCACCAGCTACCGTCCAAATACTGCAGCTCTGAAGTCAGTTCTCGTTTTAACTCCAGATTTTCTTTCAGCTTTGGATGAAAATCAGCACATTTCCTCAACATCTGAAACATCTGGCATTCAAGAAATGCCATCAGCTGTACCTGGTAATACTTGAAAAATGTGATTTTAAATAGAAATTCCCACAGAGATTTCATCAAACATTTGGAATATTGTTAATTAAGTTGAACATGATTGAAAATAACTTCAGAACAAACATAATTCATTTGCTCTCTCAGATACCAGACTTGGGAAATATAGGAAATTTTGTGTGATGCTTTAAAACAGTAAATATTCTCTTCTAATTTTGGTCTACGTTCCTGATATATTTACAGATCTGTATTGCTGTGCTTGATGTTAATCAGCATGTCTTATTACATACAGTAGTGTTCTCTTTTTAAGTTGGGTACCGCAGATGGGTAGGAGTGAAAGCTAATGAAAATATTGTTTTAAACCCCTAATGAAACTATTCTAATGGTTGCAAGTGTTGAGTATGTCCCATAGAAATAATAGAATCAATAATAATGAATATATGGAGTTCAAAATAATGGAGAATAGACCCTTAAATACTTTAACTTGAGTATACTTAAAGCAGTTATTTTAAGTCAGACATTTTGCTGCCAATATTGGGAGACAGCATGGGCCCAAAACTAACAAAAACTAAAGCATGCTTGTGAGATGTATTGCTATATTGCTTGAGTGCAGCTTTTGAAATAAATGGCACAACATTCTAATTAAAGAAAATATTTGCAACAAATTGATCTTAACTGGATGCTTCTATGGTAGATGTGATGCTTTCAAATACCTGTTATGCCAGACTCCAGTAAAATTAAACTGTTAGATGATGGTATTTTATTGACAATTAAATTACTTACACCTATAAATATATAATAATCTAAAGTACGTAGTTTTCCTGTTCTTCCTTCCCAACATTTATTCTTTAGGGTTCTACTTCCTCGATTCACAAAATAAGCTAACTTACCAATGCCTTACAAAATGACACTGAACAAATGCAGTTTTATCAATGCTCAAGGTTCTGCTAGGTTTACTGTACCTGCAAGAAGAAATATTTCACTTTCTTTCAATAATGACAGTTTCATCCAAAGCCTATTTCAGGTTGTTGCCAAAACTCCCTCGCAGCAAAAAGTGGACTAAATGGATATTTGACAGAAAATTTTTAGTAGCTGTCCAGTTGCCTGTAATTGCAGATTAATGGGAAAGCTTGCAGATTCCAACTAAGCATTCTTAAAATCAAGAAATGGAGATGTGTTAGGTTTATATATTTATTCTTCAGGGGTATTAATCAGTATCTATCATTAATGCGTCTTCCATACTGAGGAATAACTTATAATCAAGTACTTTAACAGAAAGTTTCAGTAATGGTTTTCCATAATGGTTTTCTATGTATTGATATAATAGCAAATTCAAGTTCAATTCTTTATTCTGCTTTCTTTGCCTATAAACAAAGTTATACTGCACTTTTTCCAAACTAGAGGGGTCAATTTCTCAACAATTACAGTGTCTGAGAGAATGGAAAAAAAAATCATGCCTGATCTAGTCTGGAATTCAACATAAACATGTTGATAAGTCCTAGATTTGAAGGAGAGTTAAAAATGTGACTAAATATTATAATAATGCTTAATTTACATATCCTAGTCATAGACTTGAGATGGGAAACCCTAGCATGTACAGCTGTTTGTATTTAAGGGACTTGCTTAGAATAACCTAAGGAATTCTGGTTTTTGGTTTTGCATGTTTGTGTTGGGGAGGGGAGAAAGGGGAAGCGAAGAGAATGAATAGAAGGTTCTTTCAACTAAAAATAGTGAAGTTCAGCCACACAATGAGATTACTGCAGTGAAATACTTGCTTACATGTTATATCCCCTGGAGTGGGTCTCCTACTTATCCTCATGATTTCTTTTAAAAACCTATTGCTTAGTTGGTCACTTGTTAATTAGTTGTTTTTAGCAAATGTTTACTTGCCAAAGTTCTTCAAGACTGTTTCTTGAAGACTGATTAATGACTTCATATTTATTTATTGTGCTCTACGGAGCCATACAGCCCAAAAATCCAACGTGGTTATTCACGTAATGACAATACTTTCAATCTAGCCTTTTTTTTCCTTTAAAACCACAGTGTTACCCCTCTTGTAGAGTCTGTTTAAGTATGATTTTCACGTCTGATTGAGCTGTTTTAGTTTTCAACACACTTGCTTCCATTTTTCTGATGTGAACACATTTGCTTCTAACTCTAAATGGCAAGCCAGTTAAAGAACTGTTTTGAATCAATCATTTCTTGATCAGCAGCTAGAAATCATTTTTGGTACATAGTGAAAAAGGACTGATCTTTTACACCAAATTGTAAGAATTTCATTTTTCTGCTGTGTAATTTAAACTCCAAAAAGTGTAAAGGGAGAAGATTCCTAGAAGTTCTGTATACCATCAGGGTCCTCTTGTCACCATATGGGGCCGCATATCTTTCTCTTTATTCACATAATGCAGAAAGGACTTTTAAGCATCCAGTACCTGGTTTGTGTTTGCAATTACATCATCTTGAACACCACAACTTGTGTGTTTGCTATCCCAGGAGCAGTTAGATTCCTCAGCATTTTAAATCCAGGTTTTCTCTTCAGCTCTTAATGAAACACAGATAGTTTCAAAATTCATGTCTAAAGCATCTGGAGTCACGGAAATACCATCAATGCAGTCTGGTATTGACATTTCTTATGAACTGAGTGTTCTTGAATTATCAAAAGAGTTCCCAGTGTGCTTTTGGTGAATTGTTGGTTTGCTTTCCTTTTCTTTGGGGATAAGAACAACTGCAAGATAAAAATTCTGCATCAGGTACTTTAATTTAAGGTAATATATATATGATGTTTAAAATGCTGGATTATGACTTTTTTTCCAAATTCTTAGTTCACTTTTGCAGTACTAATTCTTAGTATTACCCATAATTGCCATTGACCAATTATGTAGTGCCTAATGTAATAGAATTTTACTATGAAACACTGTGAGACTCATAATCAAACTTCAACTTCTCCACTGTGTGCAGAGTATCCTGATACAGATAGCTACAGTATTGTTTGAAGTGTTATACCATTTTTTGATTTTATCTTTTTCTTTTTATGAAAGTGAATTTCTGTGGTTATAGGTATGTAAAACATCTTCCCAATAAGTTACAATGTCGGAGACAGGGAGCGATATGTGTAGGAAGTTCTCTTTGTATATTTATTTTATATTGACTGTTCATGTTCAGTTTTGGTTTTAAAACAGCTTAAAAGTTGTTCAAGTTGTAAATTCTGAAGTTTTGTAGAATATTCAAGTATATTTCTAGTGGAGGAGGACTCCCTAGCTGTGCTGTAGTGACAAAATTCTTATTACAGAGATCAAAGATAGCACAGTGAAAACTGCAAACCCAAGTCCAGGAATTCTTTAGGTAGTTTGAGACTTGATAGTCCAGATATGTCTAGGAGAAAAAAGGAATAATTTTTTTTATCTGGGGAGATAAAAGGTTTGTCAGCTTTATGCATGTTTCCTAAAGAATCAAACCAGCTTCTTTAATATTTTTTTCCTCTATAGGACACATTTAATGCTGAACACAGGAACTCTCATTTTATTCTATTGGTCTGAATCTTGTCTTCTACTGCAAACCTCTGTAGATATTTGTAAAGGTTCTGTAGTATTCCCCTGAACACTAACAGCTAGGTACTGCCTTTTATATTTGCCATATTAATTGCTGTGTTTAACACTTCTTCAAATCAGTGTTAGTAAAGGTGCAAACTTTGGCTAGGTAATTCAGAAAACATATTTGTGGAACTCTTGTTATTCCCATTTTACAGCAAACAAAATTAAGATGGAGAGGACAGTAAATAGCACAGAGCCACAGAGAAGAGTGTAGTCAAATGCATCTTTGAAAGGGAGAAATTTTGGAATCTCTTTCAATAGATCCCCTATTAATCTACCCTACAAACCTTGGATTCATTTTTGAAGGATTTTATTTGCTAAGACTGTAGGAGTCTAATAAGAACAAGAATTCCATGTTTGTAATTTTCTCTTTTTTGGTCCATCAAATTTACACTCTTCTACTTTTCCCATGTTCTTGCAAGTGTCATGGCAATTTTAAAATTTCGATTCCACTTTCTGAGGTAACCTGTTTGACCTATCACTGCTTGGGTTAAGAATTTGCTGTATTCTTTAATGAGATACTCTGTATTTTTCAATAATATATTCCTATGCAAGAAAAGGGATTTTTATTATGATCTTTGCATTTCACTGTTCTCATTTACATATCTGCTCACTGATAACTGGAAATAGATGTGACTTTTAGCTCATACTTGTCTTACAGCGTGGATATCAAATTCTGTCTGTTCGAAGTCTTTCATACCATTTCAAGATGAAAACTTGTAAACTCCTGTAAATTAAGGAGCTGCTGGTCTATTAGAGATTCTTACAGATTTTAGTTAAGAAAGCACAAGTTTTTTTTCTTCTACCAGTTGGCTCAACTCTTGAAGGAAATCCTTATTAAGTTCACCTTAATTCATTTTTCAGCAGAGAAGCTATTGTTTCCGCTTTATTTTTTCCCAGGCGTATATTTTTTTAGACTCAAAGTTCAGGTTTTTAAGTGTAGTGACATATATAATAATCAGTGCTAGTTAATTCTTTTTCAGATTAAATATATATCCAAAACTTGACAGTATCTTCGATGCACATTCTGGCTACATATTCATTGACTACTTTTCAATATATAGTTTGAAAGTAGTTGTTTGCTGCCTGAAAATGGATTTTGGAGTCTGTCAGTTACTGCTGTTAAAAGGCAGCTCTAAAGCATCATGACTGCCATTAGTGTGCAATAGGAGTAGTGTTTAACTAGTGGTTGGGTGCTTTTTTGATAATAGAGAGTGACAAAAAAACAGATGTATGATTTATTTGGTAGAAAGAGTATACCCAGATAAATATTGATTTATTTGGATGTGATTAAAGCAATGCTTTCAAATGCATAAAGAGATTGCCCTAACATCTCAAGATAGTTTCCATCTCTAATCTTAGCTCTCCCAAGACCAGTCCTGGAGCCCACAACTTTTCCATTCCTGAAAACCACGAGGACAGTGAAGGGTAAACAGTGATTCCATCATAATTGCTATCACTTTGAAATACTTAAATATGAAAAGCTGTATTTTAAAATGTAGTCAACACATTTCAATTTTTTTTCCTGATAGTGACAATGTCAAATATGTCAACAGGATGATCAGTCATTTATATAAAATATAAGGAGACACTTAATTTTTAAGATTCGTGATCACTTTTCATAATTTTCTGCTCTATAGGCTTAGTTCACTAGAAGATTAACTGTATTCTGTAGTCTGTATTCTACAGACTAACTCAACTAAACCACCCAGATTTAAAAATGGAATAATCCTGTAATGAATGCAAATAGTTATGTAAAAAAACCCTGAATGTAATATAGGCTTGATTCATCTAAAACTCTGCACTAACATTGCTTCGAAAAAAAGTGTTTGTCTCTATTTTCTGAAGGTAGTTTTCTGATTTAATCTTAGTTACTCAGAGACCAAAGCTGAAACCTACTTCCCCTCACTTTGCAAGCCAAGGAACAGTGGATGGTAAATATTATATTTTCATTTATTTGCTTTTTCTGTGCCGTCACTTGACATCGTTTGCATCTGGTTTGAGCAATATCTAGGTTTGTTAACGCACTTTAAACATCTGCCATACTCATGATAATTATGATGTTTGAACCAATGCTTTTTTCCATCACTTGAAAAATCGATTTTGAAGGGACCGGTGACAAAGAGAATTTGTCATAAAATTCCCGTGTGTCTCCAGGTGAAATTTTTATTTTGAAAATTCTTTCTAGAACTAAATATTCCAATATGGCAGAAATTTTACTTTCTCTTACTAATGTAGTAGAGATGTCTTATGGATTCCTTAGAGTACATAAATTAATTTTTCCTTATTCAATGAGCACTGAAGTTCAAGCTTGATGAACAGGTATGTTAATCATTCGCTCAGGTACTAATTGTAAAGAAGAACGGGTATTATCATACACCACGGGGAGTGGAGAGGCCTTTCATGTGAGGTCTGTTCTATGTAAAAACAATAATAGTAGTGAAAACAGTAAGAAAATACCTATTTGCAAAAATTATTAATCTTTTAAGAAGGATTGGACTTATGACTGAATATTGATAGTATAATGTGCAGTCTCTTCCTCCATGCTAGAATAATTACTAATTAGTATTTGCAGTTTTTTGCATTGGAGACATGCCCAGAACATGTCATGTTGAATTTCTAATTCTAAGATGAGTCCTGGCTCCGTTGTTCTCTCTACAATTATGGTTGTTTCAGCATCTTTCAAGGAAATGTAAGAAGTGGTTTGGTGAATTAGACACTTAGGCATTTTTATGCTGATGGAGAGCCATTTAGTTAATGAGGTTCAAGGACTATTGTGATACTTGCAACCACAACAAGACAGTTGACTCTTGATTTGATCACTGAGTCACAAGGTAATGCCAGGAAAAAGCATGTGTGGCCCTAAATACAGATATCTGGGGGCTGGGAACTGATGCTGCTTGTACTGCTGTGGCAGTGGATATCTCAGTGGATATCTCAAGATCATTTCCATGTTTGACTGTAGCACCCAAGAGACCAGCCCTGGAATCGACCTTGTCTGCTTCACCAGAAACCACAAGGATGGGTAAATAGCCAGCCATTCCCTTCCTTCCTTCATCACTTTGGCAATGCTTT